AGTGTGCTGCCTGCTAAGCAAGAGGTCCATAGTTTGATGCTCTGTAACCTCAGACACTTGTTTTAAGGAGCAAGTGTGGCTTGGTTGGTTAGTGTACTGCCTGCTAAGCAAGAGGTCCGTAGTTTGATCCTCAGTGACCTCACACACTTGTTTTAAAGGGGCACTTGGATGAAAACGCCCCGATTTTTGAAAGTCCGAATAACTGAAGTATTTGAGGATAATATGATTCAATTATAGTTATGGAAATCTGATTAGTGAAAATTTTAGCCTGGGAGCCACTTGCTATTGAGATATTTTGGGTTAAGAGCGAAAAGAACAATAGGGTTGAGTAAATGACGTCATTTACTCACAATTTCGATGCTGAATAAAATTGATAATTTTTCCCCGCCACTTTTGACTGTGAAGGAAACATGTTGCTTGGCTACCATCTGGGCCTTATAGATAAGTGTAAACAAGTTTCAAGTCATTTCCAATTTTTATTGATTTTCATCCAAGTGCGGCTTTTTTATTGATTTTCATCCAAGTGTGGCTTGGTTGGTTAGTGTGCTGCCTGCTAATCAAGAGGTCCGCAGTTTGATGCTCACCTCTAGTTGGCAATAAACATGATTTTTTACTGATATTTAATACGTTTTTTTGTAGGTTTTCTGGTTGGTGGGGAACTAATAAGGAAACAAGATTCCAAATGAATCCAGGTAACAATCACGTCAACAAATACTGCCTGCTATGAGCAAAACGTTTCATGAGTGCAAGGGTGGCGTAAACCAACGGGTTGGGTCGCAGACTCGTGCCCTGTGGATAATTTCCGAGATGCGCGAGCGCTTTCATAAATATCGCAGGCTCAGACATGTAATCGAGGCATTTTCGGGCCTTGGAAACCATAGGATTAAAGGAGATTTTTAAAACCCTTGGAGAAAAGATTTTGTCTGAAGTGAGCTATATATTTTTTCAAATATAGCTCCCCACCTAAAAGAAACTTTCCTCCATTAACATAATTTTCAAAGTTTTGTATGCGTTTTCGTTAGTTTCTCTTGCCCGAAAATAACCCTTTTTCGAATCTGAACGCAATATTTTTGACAGTGCTCGCACATCTTGCAAAAGATCTATCGAGTTTGTTTCTTTTGTTCCCTCATGTTACACGAGGGTTTTTCTCCGGGTTCTCCGGTTTTTCCTCCCTCCGTAATAATCACCTTTTGAGTTCAGTGTTGTGTGCGTAAATGTGAATAAATATATATAGCAAGGGGTCTAACAAGCATAAATTGTGTAATAATTTTCAGGTATAATATGACTCTTTTAATAGACAGGTTTCGGCGCTGATGATGGCAGTAGGACTGCCGAAACATGTCTATTAAAAGAGTCACACTATACCTGAATATATATAGCAAGATTTAAAATGAATTAAATAGATAAATAAACAAACAAACGAACAAACAAACAAACAAATTAATTAATGATATGTAAAGACATCAATACTAATTTTCATTTTTGGTCTCAGAAATCGAACCTATTCCAGGCGCTGAGGGCTTCCAGATTTCAAACCCTGCAGCCATGCAGACAGAACTACTTATTGGAAGTTTAAATGTAAGTAAAAACTAGGAATATAGTTCAATATTGTGCACAACTCTCCATCATTCATTCTGTTCGGTATTTTAATGCTGATTTCTCGAAAGCACGTGCGGAATCCTACAATTTGCCTTCATGACAAAATGAGTTTTTTTTGGACGTCAATCAAAGTGTTTCCATAACGTTGCCGTGAGCTTTCCCAGGAAGCATGTCCATGGAATCTCATGGGAACGCCTTGATTGACGTCCACCAATATCATCTTCGTCGCGAGGACGATTCCACGCGTTCTTATAAGAAGGACCAAAAAACTTCATAGGATGGTCATGAATTTCTTACTGAGTGACAAAGGGCTACGACCATTTTTAAAAAGTTTACTGCCAATCCCCCAACCCCCCCCCC